GGAGTCTGAAGATCAATAATTATCAAAAAAATGTTGAAATTTCTCGTTCCGGTCGCTAGGGGAAGCAAAATAAACGTTGTGGGAGGAGCCTATTTTACTAAAATGGCTATAGCTCGAGAAGTAAATGAGATATCTTCACCAAACTCGGTACACATGTGTAAGAGTTCAATTTGAGGTGACAGTAAAAAAATCGCGACGATTGAACACTAGGTGGCGCTATAAAATGAAAAAACAGATAAACAACTGACCGTCAGTCCGATTGACTTGAAAATTGGTATGCAGTGTCTTGGTCCAAGCCTCATGTAAGTCTATAAGGACATTGGTGTATCTCAAAAACATGGCCGCCATCGGCCAATGAAGTTTGAGCATCTATGAAACAAGGTTAACGAAGGCCGATCGGAACGAAACTCGTTGGGAATGTTCGACTCATGGCCCTAGAGGTCTGTAAGAATTTTGAAAGAAATCGGCCACTAGTTGGCGCTAACGAGTTTTATTGCTCTGTAATCACGTGGTGTTGCACACACCCCACAAAATGTATATCAATTGATAGATCTCCTCATGATGAACAACTTTGCCTCAAGAACCATTGCTGTCAATCAATTCGTTCGTTAAATATTCACGAATATGTTAAAAACCTACTTTTGCGAACTAGTCCCTGGTTTTTTGCCCGATCGGAACCAGACTAGTCTAGGATAATTCTTGGACTCTCTTGATCAATAATTATCCAAAAAAAGTTCAACTTTGTCATTTGTCTTGCTATAACAGGGTCATTTACAAAAGGGCGTGACAAAAAGCCCCCAAAAGCCTGTAAATCCTAAAGGAAAACTCAGAACTTTACAAAAATTGATGAGCATATGTGTCATAACATGTTGAAGAAGCATGCACAGTTTCATGGAGATCGGACCATAGGTGGCGCTATAACTGTTAAAAAGCTTTAAAACCATGTATTTCCAATGGTAATTTGCCATTATTGACTGTAAATGGTGTTTTCCATCTCTGATCATATCATAATGTTAAAACCAGTGCAGTACAATTCTCTGGACTCTCTAGATAAATAATTAAAAGAAAAAGTTGAACTACGTCATGTGGATGACTATAATAGGATGGCTTCAACATTTAGTGTGTTGAAGCCATCTATTACTACACTTTCAGTGTCCCTGAAAGCGTTGATCTCTTCAATAAACAAGTCAGAACATGTGACATTAAATAATCATGAACATTTTCAGACAGATCTGACAGAATATGCCTAAATAACAGTTAAAAAGGTGAAATGATATCAATATGATGGTCTATTAAGCCAATAAGTGGTGTTTTACTGCCCTCTGCTGTTCAAAATAGTAATTGTCTCACTACTCAACTATAATTAATATTATGACTTTATTAATTAACTATTTTAACATTTGCAATCACATTTAGTCAAATATTGAACACAATCATTTTTTTTGTCAAAGTTTATCACTTCAGTTGTTCTGAATCTTCACATAATTGCTATTAACGTGGTAAATAGCTATACTATATTCCTAGAATCACATTAAAATCCAATCATCCAAGCCCCAATCACTGTAAATAATGATAAATCATGCTAGAACGTGGTAAATTAATGTACACTATGGTCAGAGGTGTAGTGGTAAAAAAAAGAGGTGGGTAAACTATAAATTCTGGTGTATTATTTCGAATAATAAGACACTATGGGCTGTTACTCTAGGGTCTGATCAAATTAAATCATTTACACTGAAAAATCACAATTGCATAAAATAATGTTATGACATTTATTTAAATTTACATAAGAAACTGGGAAAGAATGATACTACTTTTAAACATTTAACACTAAACCGCCAGTAGGTGGTGGCAGGCGACCGTCTTAATGAGTGAGTCATTCAATTCATTCATTCAAACGATTCGTTCAAACGGCTGATCATTCAAGAATGAGACCGATGTTTTTGAATGTGTCTTTGAATCTTTGACTCAATCGATTCGTTCAAAATGCTGAATGATTCAGTAATGAAAACACGTCGAGTGTTCCTGTGACATGTGCCGTGGTTCTGCTGTGATTATTGTTTGGAACTATTTTCGCTGCTGAAACACAACAAAAACAGCCAATATAGCATCTAAAATGTAAGTGATTTAATTTTTTACTGTTTATTGAACTGTTGTAGGAAATCAATGTCACATTTTCAATCGTGATGGTGTTCAGGAAAAATAAGAGACCCCATTTACACCTGGTATTAAAATGCGATCTGTATCCAGACAAGTTATCCGGATAATAAGTACCGATTCCATTTACACCTGGCCACATAAATGTGTTTTTGCAAAACGGATATAAATCCGATCTTAAACTCCCGCGTATGCAGATTTAATGGATTGAACGACACCAAAAGCAACAGATATGAGCTGCATTTCGTTGATCATCAGCTAATTTCCAAATCAAAGACATCAATAAAAGAGTGGCAACACCGCTGGTAAGATAATTTCGTTTCTTTACTTGAAGATGATTGTGTGTTAAGCGTCTGTGACTTACTTTCACTTTTATTTGCGATGTTTGCACGTTGGCTCGATGAATAGACGCTCAGCTGCGGTGATGGGTGATCCGTGTCGCAGTAGCGCCGTCATATCTGACTATAACATGACATATAGCCTATATAACAAGCTTACTCGTTTATTTTTTTGCCTTTTTGGGAGGAGTAAAATATACATATGTGGTTTCAACAACCAGATTGCGTTTACACCTAGTAAAGATCCGGACACAATGCGAGCCAGACTACCTGCAGATGTGGTCAGGCAGATCCAATCGCGATCACAACGCATTTACACCTTGCATTAACATGCGTTTTTTTATTATCCGGATAACTTATCTGGATACAGATCGCATTTTAATACCAGGTGTAAATGGGGTCTGAGTGTGTTCTGCGCTCATTTGTGTAGATTTCTGCTCGAGAGGCTGCGCGAGGGTCAACAGTACAACCTTACCGTCAGTAATAGTCAACAACACAGTAATGCAGCGCAATATAAGATTTCGTCTTAGGTGCCTGTTGACTTTGGATCAATGCATTGTTTGTGTGTTGTCGCATAAGGAGATAAAGAAATAATACAATAAAAAAATCATTGAAACAAACAATCTTTCAACATGGCTCAGGGCACATGTCTGGCAAACAAATTAATCAATTAGCAGCGCACAGGCTGACAGTGACATTAAATCATAAAAAGGCATAAACAATGTAAACACAATCAAATTAATAGATGGACTCACGTAATTCATGAAGACACACATCAAAGTGCCAGGAAAGAGTGCAAAGAATGAGCCAAAGGGTTAACAATCAATTTATAGGCAACAGGTGAGTCGTGCATGGTGAAGTGGCAGAGTCTCATTGAAAAAGCGAAATGGAGTTGAAAGAGATTAGAAAGGAAATCTTTTCAATTACTATTATGAATTATTTAATTATATCCATTATGCAATATTGGTTGGTGTTTTTCTATAAATCCAGCAATGAACATGTAACAAGAAAAGTCATTGAGAAGAAAATAACAGTCAGCCATTACCTCATGAACCATGGTTAAACCAACAACTAATAAAATACAATTGTGAACATTATGAACCCCAACACCACGGTGAAGGACGCAGAATAAGTTAGGGATTACGCAAAGCCTGCGGGTTTGTATTCGCTATAACAACCGCCTCGCTCTACATTACCCTGCTTATTACATTGCTACCTACCAAGTAAATCAATAATTTGACTCAAAATATAGATATAAACAGGAGTTTATTGATTTAAAAAACGATTGCCGATAAAAAAGAAAAATAGTCCGTTCTGTCTCTACGTTTAGAATCCATGGCAACGCTCTGTTTTTCATGGCAACGGTGTGTTATACTTATAAGCAGCGGCCTGTTATAACAACAGACCGCACTCTACATTAGAATTCAACCAAGCCATATAAGAAACAAATAAATACCGTTACCAAGCTAACAGAGCTACGTAAACAGAGCGAACAGGAGAGCACTCGTCTGCAGACGTCAATAATGGAATATACTCCCGATCAAACTCCGCTTCCCGAAAGTTATAAACTGCCTCTGGAACCTAGTTAAGGTACAAACATCTATTCAACAAAAATAGTGATGCAGTTAAGTGTTTTTTCGCTCAGCCGAGCCCTCTCTGTTGCTGTGTGGAGCAGCCTGTGTCAGTCACCTCTTCCTGAACGTCGCTCACTCAACTCGCGCACTGCGGTCTCGTGAGGAACGCAGCTTTTTGACATACAGTATTTCTTGTTCCCGAACACAAATATTTTTTAAGTATTTGTTCGGAATAAGTATTCGTAAAAAACACATTATTTGTGCCTTTCCGAATACCGTATTCGGCTCCACCCCTAGTACACACTATATTTTGCATAGTTAATTTATTTAACAAATTTCTTTTTGTTAATGTTTTGCAGTCAAACTATACATATACTGTACACACTATAAATGTGTGTGTGTGTTTGTGTGTGTGTGTGTGCGTGTGCGTGCGTTTGTGTGTAAGCATGCTTTATGAAGTTAACATGAAAAAAATGGTTTGCTTTAGTGCAGAATAGTGGAGAAACAAAGCATTTCAAAATGGAAGTGTGCCAATAAGTGGTCTTCTACTGCCCTCTGCTGGCCACTTTTCTTATTAATAGTCTTTTCACTTGCTATATTGTGGTAAACCATCCTATAACATGGTATATCAAGGTAAACTATGGAAAATCATGTTAGATTCATGGTAAATCATACTAGAACATGGTAAATCATGAAAAATCACATTGAAATATGGTTTATCATGGTAAATAATGCTTGCTACATAAAACTGAATGTCTTTTGATGCTTTTGTGCTTAAAGGCCTTAAAGGCCTAAACTGCTTGAACCCCGCAAAATGCTGCTTGCAGCTTTAATTATTATTATTATTATTATTCTCCCCTAAAACGCATCGTGCAGCCCAAACCGTAAGGGCTAGAGCTCTGAAACTTTGTCAGATGGTAGTACAAAAATCGAGGAGAGGTTATCAAATTATGAGCCCGATTGGCCCATAGGTGGCGCTATAGCGACCAATTGCGCGAAACTGCTCATAACTCCTAGACCGTAAGTCGTACACTCAAGTGTTTTATATCCTTGGAAAGCTGGTCACCTGACGAAAAAAACGTATATCTCCGATTTCATTTCCGTCATGATAGATTTTCCGCCATTTTGAATTTTGTCGAAAAACTACTTTTGCGAACTAGTCCCTGGTTTTTTGCCCGATCGGAACCAAACCAGTGCAGAAATGTTCTCTGGAGTCTGAAGATCAATAATTATCAAAAAAATGTTGAAATTTCTCGTTCCGGTCGCTAGGGGAAGCAAAATAAACGTTGTGGGAGGAGCCTATTTTACTAAAATGGCTATAACTCGAGAAGTAAATGAGATATCTTCACCAAACTCGGTACACATGTGTAAGAGTTCAATTTGAGGTCACAGTAAAAAAATAGCGACGATTGAACACTAGGTGGCGCTATAAATGAAAAAAACATAAAAAAGGGCTATGACCACATGACCGTTAGTCCGATTGACTTGAAAATTGGTATGCAGTGTCTTGGACCAAGGCCCCATGTATATCTATGAGGACATTGGCGTATCTAAAAAAACATGGCCGCCATCGGCCAATGAAGTTTGAGCATCTATGAAACAAGGTTAACGAAGGCCGATCGGAACGAAACTCGTTGGGCATGTTTGACTCATGGCCCTAGAGGTCTGTAAGAATTTTGAAAGAAATCGGCCACTAGTTGGCGCTAACGAGTTTTATGGCTCTGTTATCACGTGGTGTTGCACACACCCCCACAATATGTATATCAATTGATAGATCTCCTCATGCTGAACAACTTTGCCTCAAGAACCATTGCTGTCAATCAAATCGTTCGTTAAATATTCACGAATATGTTAAAAACGTACTTTTGCGAACTAGTCCCTGGTTTTTTGCCCGATCGGAACCAGACCAGTCTAGGATAATTCTTTGGACTCTCTAGATCAATAATTATCAAAAAAAGTTGAACTTTGTCATTTGTTTTGCTATAACAGGGTCATTTATAAAAGGGGGCATGACAAAATGCACCCAAAAGCCTATAAATCCTAAAGGAAAAGTCAGAACTTCACAAAAATTGATGAGCACATGTGTCATAACTTATTCAACAAGCATGCAAAGTTTCATGGAGATCGGACTATAGGTGGCGCTATAACTGTTAAAAATGTTAAAAACAATGTATTCCCTATGGTAAATTGCCATTATTGAAACTTAAACCTTAATGTCTTTTGATGCTTTTGTGCTTAAAGGCCTTAAAGGCCTAAACTGCTTGAACCCCGCTAAATGCTGCTTGCAGCTTTAATTATTAGGGGTTCAAGCATGCTGAAACCCTATTGTACTGATTATTATTATTATTATTCTCCCTAAAACGCATCGTGCAGCCCAAACCGTAAGGGCTAGAGCTCTGAAACTTTGTCAGATGGTAGTACAAAAATCGAGGAGAGGTTATCAAATTATGAGCCCGATTGGCCCATAGGTGGCGCTATAGCGACCAATTGCGCGAAACTGCTCATAACTCCTAGACCGTAAGTCGTACACTCAAGTGTCTTATATCGTTGGAAAGCTGGTCACCTGACGAAAAAAACGTATATCTCCGATTTCATTTCCGTCATGATAGATTTTCCGCCATTTTGAATTTTGTCGAAAAACTACTTTTGCGAACTAGTCCCTGGTTTTTTGCCCGATCGGAACCAAACCAGTGCAGAAATGTTCTCTGGAGTCTGAAGATCAATAATTATCAAAAAAATGTTGAAATTTCTCGTTCCGGTCGCTAGGGGAAGCAAAATAAACGTTGTGGGAGGAGCCTATTTTACTAAAATGGCTATAGCTCGAGAAGTAAATGAGATATCTTCACCAAACTCGGTACACATGTGTAAGAGTTCAATTTGAGGTGACAGTAAAAAAATCGCGACGATTGAACACTAGGTGGCGCTATAAAATGAAAAAAACAGATAAACACCTGACCGTCAGTCCGATTGACTTGAAAATTGGTATGCAGTGTCTTGGTCCAAGGCCTCATGTAAGTCTATAAGGACATTGGTGTATCTCAAAAAAACATGGCCGCCATCGGCCAATGAAGTTTGAGCATCTATGAAACAAGGTTAACGAAGGCCGATCGGAACGAAACTCGTTGGGAATGTTCGACTCATGGCCCTAGAGGTCTGTAAGAATTTTGAAAGAAATCGGCCACTAGTTGGCGCTAACGAGTTTTATTGCTCTGTAATCACGTGGTGTTGCAAACACCCCCACAAAATGTATATCAATTGATAGATCTCCTCATGATGAACAACTTTGCCTCAAGAACCATTGCTGTCAATCAATTCGTTCGTTAAATATTCACGAATATGTTAAAAACCTACTTTTGCGAACTAGTCCCTGGTTTTTTGCCCGATCGGAACCAGACTAGTCTAGGATAATTCTTTGGACTCTCTTGATCAATAATTATCCAAAAAAAGTTCAACTTTGTCATTTGTCTTGCTATAACAGGGTCATTTACAAAAGGGCGTGACAAAAAGCCCCCAAAAGCCTGTAAATCCTAAAGGAAAACTCAGAACTTTACAAAAATTGATGAGCATATGTGTCATAACATGTTGAAGAAGCATGCACAGTTTCATGGAGATCGGACCATAGGTGGCGCTATAACTGTTAAAAAGCTTTAAAACCATGTATTTCCAATGGTAAATTGCCAGTATTGGCTGTAAATGGTGTTTTCCATCTCTGATCATATCATAATGTTAAAACCAGTGCAGTACAATTCTCTGGACTCTCTAGATCAATAATTATAACAAAAAGTTGAACTACGTCATGTGGATGACTATAATAGGATGGCTTCAACATTTAGTGTGTTGAAGCCATCTATTACTACACTTTCAGTGTCCCTGAAAGCGTTGATCTCTTCAATAAACAAGTCAGAACACGTGACATTAAATAATCATGAACATTTTCAGACAGATCTGACAAAATATGCCTAAATAACAGTTAAAAAAGGTGAAATGATATCAAAATGATGGTCTATTAAGCCAATAAGTGGTGTTTTACTGCCCTCTGCTGTTCAAAATAGTAAGTGTCTCACTACTCAACTATAATTAATATTATGACTTTATTAATGATCTATTTTAACATTTGCAATCACATTTAGTCAAATATTGATCACAATCATTTTTTTTGTCAAAGTTTATCACTTCAGTTGTTCTGAATCTTCACATAATTGCTATTAACGTGGTAAATAGCTATACTATATTCCTAGAATCACATTAAAATCCAATCATCCAAGCCCCAATCACTGTAAATAATGATAAATCATGCTAGAACGTGGTAAATTAATGTACACTATGGTCAGAGGTGTAGTGGTAAAAAAAGAGGTGGGTAAACTATAAATTCTGGTGTATTATTTCGAATAATAAGACACTATGGGCTGTTACTCTAGGGGCTGATCAAATTAAATCATTTACACTGAAAAAACACAATTGCATAAAATAATGTTATGACATTTATTTAAATTTACATAAGAAACTGGGAAAGAATGATACTACTTTTAAACATTTAACACTAAACCGCCAGTAGGTGGTGGCAGGCGACCGTCTTAATGAGTGAGTCATTCAATTCATTCATTCAAACGATTCGTTCAAACGGCTGATCATTCAAGAATGAGACCGATGTTTTTGAATGTGTCTTTGAATCTTTGACTCAATCGATTCGTTCAAAATGCTGAATGATTCAGTAATGAAAACACGTCGAGTGTTCCTGTGACATGTGCCGTGGTTCTGCTGTGTTGTTTGGAACTATTTTCGCTGCTGAAACACAACAAAAACAGCCAATATAGCATCTAAAATGTAAGTGATTTAATTTTTTACTGTTTATTGAACTGTTGTAGGAAATCAATGTCACATTTTCAATCGTGATGGTGTTCAGGAAAAATAAGAGACCCCATTTACACCTGGTATTAAAATGCGATCTGTATCCAGACAAGTTATCCGGATAATAAGTACCGATTCCATTTACACCTGGCCACATACATGTGTTTTTGCAAAACGGATATAAATCCGATCTTAAACTCCCGCGTATGCAGATTTAATGGATTGAACGACACCAAAAGCAACAGATATGAGCTGCATTTCGTTGATCATCAGCTAATTTCCAAATCAAAGACATCAATAAAAGAGTGGAAACACCGCTGGTAAGATAATTTCGTTTCTTTACTTGAAGATGATTGTGTGTTAAGCGTCTGTGACTTACTTTCACTTTTATTTGCGATGTTTGCACGTTGGCTCGATGAATAGACGCTCAGCTGCTCATCTGCGGTGATGGGTGATCCGTGTCGCAGTAGCGCCGTCATATCTGACTATAACATGACATATATAGCCTATATAACAAGCTCACTCGTTTATTTTTTTGCCTTTTTGGGAGGAGTAAAATATACATATGTGGTTTCAACAACCAGATTGCGTTTACACCTAGTAAAGATCCGGACACAATGCGAGCCAGACTACCTCCAGATGTGGTCAGGCAGATCCAATCGCGATCCGATCACAACGCATTTACACCTTGCATTAACATGCGTTTTTTATTATCCGGATAACTTATCTGGATACAGATCGCATTTTAATACCAGGTGTAAATGGGGTCTGAGTGTGTTCTGCGCTCATTTGTGTAGATTTCTGCTCGAGAGGCTGCGCGAGGGTCAACAGTGCAACCTTACCGTCAGTAATAGTCAACAACACAGTAATGTAGCGAAAATATGAAAGAGTTCGTCTTAGGTGCCTGTTGACTTTGGATCAATGCATTGTTTGTGTGTTGTTGCATAAGGAGATAAAGAAATAACACAATTGGTGACAGTGATCAATCAACACAAAAGGAACAATGATATAAATGAACAAAGATATGAGTACTAATCACAATAAAACAGGCAGTAAAAAAATCATTGAAACAAACAATCTTACAACATGGCTCAGGGCACATGTCTGGCAAACAAATTAATCAATTAGCAGCGCACAGGCTGACAGTGACATTAAATCATAAAAAGGCATAAACAATGTAAACACAATCAAATTAATAGATGGACTCACGTAATTCATGAAGACACACATCAAAGTGCCAGGAAAGAGTGCAAAGAATGAGCCAAAGGGTTAACAATCAATTTATAGGCAACAGGTGAGTCGTGCATGGTGAAGTGGCAGAGTCTCATTGAAAAAGCGAAATGGAGTTGAAAGAGATTAGAAAGGAAATCTTTTCAATTACTATTAATAGTCGTGTGTGTGTGTGTGTGTGTGTGTGTGTGTGTGTGTGTGTGTGCGCGTGTGCATGCATTTGTGTGTAAGCATGCTTTATGAAGTTAACGTGAAAAAAATGGTTTGCTTTAGTGCAGAATATTGGAGAAACAAAGTATTTCAAAATGGAAGTGTGCCAATAAGTGGTCTTCTACTGCCCTCTGCTGGCCACTTTTCTTATTAATAGTCTTTTCACTTGCTATATTGTGGTAAACCATCCTATAACATGGTATATCAAGGTAAACTATGGAAAATCATGTTAGATTCATGGTAAATCATACTAGAACATGGTAAATCATGAAAAATCACATTGAAATATGGTTTATCATGGTAAATAATGCTTGCTACATAAAACTGAATGTCTTTTGATGCTTTTGTGCTTAAAGGCCTTAAAGGCCTAAACTGCTTGAACCCCGCAAAATGCTGCTTGCAGCTTTAATTATTATTATTATTATTATTCTCCCCTAAAACGCATCGTGCAGCCCAAACCGTAAGGGCTAGAGCTCTGAAACTTTGTCAGATGGTAGTACAAAAATCGAGGAGAGGTTATCAAATTATGAGCCCGATTGGCCCATAGGTGGCGCTATAGCGACCAATTGCGCGAAACGGCTCATAACTCCTAGACCGTAAGTCGTACACTCAAGTGTCTTATATCATTGGAAAGCTGGTCACCTGACGAAAAAAACGTATATCTCCGATTTCATTTCAGGTATGGAAATTTTTCCGCCATTTTGAATTTTGTCGAAAAACTACTTTTGCGAACTAGTCCCTGGTTTTTTGCCCGATCGGAACCAAACCAGTGCAGAAATGTTCTCTGGAGTCTGAAGATCAATAATTATCAAAAAAAATGTTGAAATTTCTCGTTCCGGTCGCTAGGGGAAGCAAAATAAACGTTGTGGGAGGAGCCTATTTTACTAAAATGGCTATAACTCGAGAAGTAAATGAGATATCTTCACCAAACTCGGTACACATGTGTAAGAGTTCAATTTGAGGTCACAGTAAAAAAATAGCGACGATTGAACACTAGGTGGCGCTATAATATGAAAAAAACATAAAAAGGGCTATGACCACATGACCCTTAGTCCGATTGACTTGAAAATTGGTATGCAGTGTCTTGGACCAAGGCCCCATGTATATCTATGAGGACATTGGCGTATCTAAAAAAACATGGCCGCCATCGGCCAATGAAGTTTGTGCATCTATGAAACAAGGTTAACGAAAGCCGATCGGAACGAAACTCGTTGGGCATGTTTGACTCATGGCCCTAGAGGTCTGTAAGAATTTTGAAAGAAATCGGCCACTAGTTGGCGCTAACGAGTTTTATGGCTCTGTTATCACGTGGTGTTGCACACACCCCCACAATATGTATATCAATTGATAGATCTCCTCACGCTGAACAACTTTGCCTCAAGAACCATTGCTGTCAATCAAATCGTTCATTAAATTTTCACGAATATGTTAAAAACGTACTTTTGCGAACTAGTCCCGGGTTTTTTGCCGGATCGGAACCACACCAGTCTAGGACAATTCTTTGGACACTCTAGATCAATAATTATCAAAAAAAAAGTTGAACTTTGTCATTTGTTTTGCTATAACAGGGTCATTAATAAAAGGGGGCATGACAAAATGCACCCAAAAGCCTATAAATCCTAAAGGAAAAGTCAGAACTTCACAAAAATTGATGAGCACATGTGTCATAACTTATTCAACAAGCATGCAAAGTTTCATGGAGATCGGACTATAGGTGGCGCTATAACTGTTAAAAATGTTAAAAACAATGTTTTCCCTATGGTAAATTGCCATTATTGAAACTTAAACCTTAATGTCTTTTGATGCTTTTGTGCTTAAAGGCCTTAAAGGCCTAAACTGCTTGAACCCCGCTAAATGCTGCTTGCAGCTTTAATTTTTTATGAAAACCGTGATACATTTTTCAGGATTATTCGATAAGTAAAAAATTTAAAAGAACAGTATTTATTTGAAATATAAATCTTTTGTAACAATTTTAAAAGTCTTTACTCTCACTTTTGATCAATTTAATGCATATTTGCTAAATAGAAGATTCAAATGATTGTGTAAAAAGGGCAGTGGTGGAGTCGAAGTCATACGCACGTATCTCTATACCCATTTGTTTAGCTGCTCCAGAATCCATAGTCTATGGTTCCCTTTCAGTCAATAACATCGGACGTCGTTAACGGTTGACTGAATGGTGATTGCGTCAGAGAGCCTATGTTCTTCGAGTACTATTGAACAAGCCAATGTAATTGGCGTGCGTGATTCGCATTACTCACTCTGTAGTTGCCTTTCGCTTTGGAGCCTGTAATTTCTGTAAGAGCAACACGGGTGCATTTGCGTTTTTTTTTCAAGTTGCCATTCCATCCATGCGTTTCTGGGTGCGGTAGGGCTCTGTCCCCCTCTGACGGTCACAAGAGTTGTATCTTGTGTTTGGGCTTAAAGTATGCTGAGGCAGCTCTTGTGGATGAGTCATGTTCCCGTTGCAGGAAATATAACCATCTCGGTGCTGAGGTCAAGACTCGCTTTCGTTTGTGAGAATGAGGATGACCTAAGGATGACAGTAAGGGGTAATCCACCCGGCAAAGCCCTATAGATCCCTCACTCCTTGTTGGCACCACTGCCGGTGGAGCTCCCCGATGAGCGTGCCCGTCCCTCCGGGGTGGACCGACCAGCCATCTCATTCAGGGCCCCTCCAGAGGACAGGATGTCCATCGCAGCTTCGGATGGGGAGCTGGTCTCTGGAGATGATTACTCTGCTGCGCTGCCTCCCTCTGGCAGACCAGCGTTGTCCGAGCCGGATCCAGAGATGACAGCTATGCTGAAAAAGGCTGCAGAGGCGGTAGGGCTCGTGTGGAACCCTCCACAGTGTCCCGAACCATCTCGGTTGGATGATTGGTTTCGGAGCGGGTCGGTCTGGTTCTTAGCCCGCCACTCCGGTTCTTTTCTTTCCTGATGTGCATAAGGAGTTGACAAGGGCATGGATGGCACCTTTCTCTGCCAGAAAACGCCTGAGTAACTCCTCCTCCCTCACTACCCTTGATGGGGGAGCTGGGAAGGGTTACAAGGCTATCCCTCCAGTGGAACGGTCTGTTGCGATGCAGCGGTGTCCAGCGATCGCCACCTCATGGTCCTCGTCTCCCCTCTAAGGCCTGTAAGTTATCGTCCGTTCTCATGGGCAAGGCGTACAAAGCCTGTGGGCAAGCCGTTTCCTCTCTGCATGCCATTGCTTCAGGTCCACCAGGCCCAGGCACTCATGAACATGTATGAGGGTAGTCAAGACCTTGAGCTCAAGGGTGAGCTCTGCACCGCAACTGACCTTGCCCTCCGGGGCATGAAGGTTGCAGCTTGTGCTATCGTTCTGGCGATGTCCACTCTTGTGCTCCAGCTCTTGTCCACTCTTTTGCTAGAGCTCCATTTCTGGCTCAACCCGGCGAATATGAGAGAAGTGGACAAGGTTCGGTTCCTGGACTCTCCCATTTCCCAGGTTGGGTTGTTCGGCGACGCGGTTGAGAACTTTGCCGAGCAGTTCTCGGCCGCCCAGAAGCAGACGGAGACCATCCAGCACATTCTCCCCCGATGACCTGCTGCTGCCTCCACCCGAGACCGTAGATCCTCCGTCTGTTTGTCGTCGAGGGCGTCCGCTTGCAGCTGCCTCTGAACAGCAGTGACTTCCTTGACCTAAGCGCTGTCCTTCCCCACCTTAAAATTGCGGGGGCATCAGGAGGCTTTTGTCTAGGCACTGGAAGGTGGCAGCTTATCGCTGGACCACCACTGACTCTGGGTTACACTCGGCTCCTCAACGAAAAAGCAACTAGTGCGTGCATCCACTTCTGTATTTATACCCGCGAGCGGGGGTGGAGTGGAGTACATTGGCTCATTCAATAGTACTCGAAGAACATAGGCTCTCTGACGCGATCCCCATTCAGTCGACTACGTTCTCCGATCCTTCATTCAGGGAACGGTGGGTTACATACGCAACCAGGACCTTCTGTAGCTTCCCCTTTAACTGTATCCCATGAAGTTTTGTAAAACCTGCGATTCTTTGTCATTATTGATGCGTTATCACTTCTATCCTTCTACCTTTTCCACCCTTAACAACTTACCATAGTTAACAGGCATCAGGGAAGCTTGTCAGTGAGTGGAGACACTCATCCGCTTAAGCAATGCCAGGTAAAAATGTCTTCAATGTCTCGTTGTGTGTGGGAGAGAGAGCAGGAGAAAAAGACAGAGCATGTGATCTACAGATCAGTGGTTTTTAAAACTGTTTGAAGCCAAGGACCTCCTGAATTTAAGAAATCATTTTTTTTTTGTTCGTACTACACCACTGGTAGAGGGTGTAATTTTATTTATTGGAATATGTGTGTGTTTGTGTGTGTGTGTAGGCTACAGTTTGAGAAGCAGTTCTCTGATCAGATCGTGGAACTGAAGAGAGAAAGAGAAGAAGAGATCAGAAAGCTAAACCAACAGTGGCAACACAGAGTAGAAGAACTGCAGACACAGGTAACACACAATGTTAGTGTACTCAGACGGTCAGACCCATCATACACACATTATTTTTTCCATCTCTGTGCGTAGTTGGAGGAGAGGAGAGCACTCTCTGAGAAGTTGGATGGAGAGAGAGAGAAACGTTACGCCAATGGAGAGATGGAAAGAATGAAGCAGGAGATCCAAAAGACAAGAGATATGAACAGTTCACTCAGATCTCAACTTCACTCCACCATTCAAGAGAAAGAGAGACTGATAAGGCAGCAATTACAGGTGCGTATACACTAGTAATATCAGGACATTAAAATATTTCTCATGATTCATAATATAATTATCATCATTATTATAACAGAGATTTACGTTAAAGGGGTTTCCAATCATTGGAACACAAAAGAGGATGCTTTGAAAAATGCCTAGTTTTTTTTCATTTTCTTTAAAGAAAATGGGGTCTAATGGTGTTTTGGACCCTATTGATTGATATTGTGCGGACAAAAACAGTTGGAATTATGGCACACACAATTGTGGAAAGAACTCTTAATGTTGTTAATTTTGTGTTGTCTTTGTTCTGTAGGTGGTGAAAGAGGAAGATGAGGATGAGGAGGATGGAAAGGCTACAGGAGAGAGGGAAGAGGAGAGGGAGAAGTGGAGGTGGCGTGAACGAGAGGAAGAGTTGTTGCGTGTGGAGAGGTTAAATCACCAGCGTGCTCTTCAGGCCCTGGAAACACAAGCCAATGAAGAACTTCAGTCAGAGAGACATCGCTTACTCACTCAGCACAAACTACAGCTGGGTAACCATCACACCTCATACAGAAAGTTTTTTGCAAACCTTAAAGTTACATTTTTGAAAGTTTTGTGGAAAAAAAAGCTTTGATTTCTAGATGTAGAAAAGTCTCAAAAATGTTTATTTTTTAGTTGCTATGTAGGCTGCTTCCGAAAACTTTCAGTAGCACCTCATTGCAGTACTGTAGATCATTAAACGGTCACGCTGTCTCAGAAATCGGTCCAAAATCAAATTTAGTGAGGCACCTTCATGCGCAACGATCAGTAACCTATTGTTTTTGTCAAGATTTGGCAGGCCATGATAAACTTGAAATTTGAATGCTTAGCAAGGGCAAATCTTTTGACTTGTGGCATTTAATTTACATTTTTGTTGTATAAAAGGCTTTATTTTATTTTTTATATGGATATTATCTAACTCCTCCCTGCCTTATCTGCAATCATAATTTTCATTAACATAAAAAGAAAAATAATGTTAATTAAAGGACTAAAATGCAGCATGATAAATGGAAAGTGCATGCAGAAAAGAAAAGCACGATATCTTGGCCCGTTAAAAGGTTTAATCATATTATGCTGATAATATTCCCATAGCTCTACTTTATCAGAGTACATGTGAATGTTAATTAGAAAATGATGTGCCTGTAAACAACAACAACAAAATTGCTTTCGTAATGTGAAAGGTTTATAAACAAGTTTGTGCTAAAACAATATTATTCCTTAAAATTAATTGATGATCATGCATTGCATTCAGCACAATCTAGTGCCACGACTCCTAAAGTAGAGCAAAGGACCTTTTTGTAAGCATGTCTGATATAATGTACCTATCGTTTGTGTGTGTGTGTGTGTGTGTGTGTGTGTGTGTGTGTAGACAAGCAGAAGGGAGAGCTGACCCAGCAGCACACAGAGTGGGTGAGACAGGTCACCCAGAGACACATGCAGCAGATCGAAGACCTTCAGAACGAAATACACACACACACACAAATGATGGCCCTACAGCAGGTACACACAGAACCCAAACAGACACACACAATTACACTGTCTCAAGGGATGCATCACTTCTCTCTCTCTCTCCCTCTACCTGTCTCCTTCTCAGGATCTGAAGCAGCAAAACCGCTTACAGTCTCTAGAGAGACAGCTGGATGAAAAGAGCAGCGAGGTTCAGGAGCTAAAGAGAGAGAACGAAGATCTGAAAGAACGAATAAGTGCAATGAGTGCACAAAGAGAGGAACAAGATGACCACAATCATAAACACAAGAGGTCAGTACCAAGATGACAACAAGCAAAATTACACACAGAGGGTCAGTAACAAGATGACCTCAAACACGAACACAGACAGGAGGTCAATAACAAGATGACCACAAGCATACTCACACTGCAGTCAGTGATGAGAACTGATTGTTGCCTGCCATATCTGCTTATTCGGCTGAAGAACTGCTTATTTATTCCCATTTCCACCGAAAATGGACATTTTACGCAACAGAAAATCATCTATTTTTCAAAGCTAAAGATACAAATTATATAAACTATTACTCACCCTCATGTCATTCAAAAATAGATCCGTTCATCTTCCATTGACCATGTATGTGCTTTGGTCAATGTTTATTTGTGAATAAAAGCCTTAATTAAATCTGATCATCATATAAAGCGATTGAGTCTCTTCAGAAGACTTGGATTAAAACTATCGATCTATATGGATTTCTTTAACAATGTATTTCCGTATGAAACATCAAAATATTAGTGGAATGGCCATTCAATGGAGGGACAGAAATCACTCAGGTTTTATTAAATGTATCTTAACTTGTGTTTCAAAGAGTTTGGAAAAGTATGATGTAACAAAATAATGTCATCGTTGGGTAAACTATTCCTTTGAACCTGCTGGTGTCAAACCTGGAAACACTAACATGAATGTCCTTATCAAGTAATGTTTTCTGAACAATAACAACTTGGCCTGGCAAGACTAGCAAAAAACTTGCACTCTACGCTTGAAGAGTGGTATGCAGAGATAAGATGTGCATTCTGTAGATCTAGTTGATGTGTACTTCGCTTTGCACAGTGGCTCTGTTATTATCTAAAATAACATGATTTTATTTCATTAAATGCCATGTTGAATTTATTTAAATGAATTTTATTTGAAATCTATTTAATAACTACTGGCTGTTGCATCAAAAGAAGCTGAATTAAATTACCTGGATTTAAACTTGTTTTGAAAACTCAAAGGACTTGTAAATAAAGTTCGTAGGCAGGGTATGCACTCTACTAACACTTACATCATTGTTTGCTCAGCCAGTTATGAGAGTTTGCAGATCTGCCAGCTGAGCACCTGCTCTACCCACAAACACCTGCACGTTTTTGGTGGAAACGTGATTTTAAATCAAACAAAGATGCATGAACGACCAACTTCCTTTTTTCCGTGATATTTAGGGGCGTGTAAATCTGTTATGGGATATGGCTCTGCGTGCACAGTTGCAGAAAATGTGGGATGTTGATGTATGTGTATGTGACTTGCAGTTTCCCAGAGGAACGAGATGCAGCTGGTGAAACGGATGGGTCTGATCACAGGAATAACGTGGAGAGTGTAAAGAGAGAGCACAGGATGGAGATCCAGACCATAATATCAGACTTCAGCACCGCCCAAACACGACTACAGACCCGCATAGTTGCCTTGGAAACAGAGTACCTACTCCTCCCACATCAATAATACAAAACGCAAACCACACTTACATACAGAATTAACCCATGCAAGACAATATATGGCGATGGCTCACGACTAGGATTTTCTACAGAATTGGAGTGTTTGTCAAAGTTTCACACATCCTTTGCACCTTTAATGCTAATTTAGTGAATATAATGGCTAATTTGATAATAATTTTAGCTATGCAATTGTAGTTTCTGTCCATTTAACACATTTTACTATATTTTAACACACCTAATACTGTATCACAGTACAAATACAGTGCTAATATAAATACAAGGTTCTGTTCAAATTATTACTGTTATCTATATTAGAATGTCTAAAACACAGTTGGCCATATATTAATGTTGTTGATGCGTTTATTTCATCTTTACATGTCTGTTTTGTGTGCTTGTATTTTATGTTTGTAGGTTGAGAGAAAGGGAAGAAAGAGGAAAGAGAAGAGTAGAAGACTTGCACACCATTGCTAAACTACAGGACAAGCTAAGCGAGAGAGACCAACTCATCAAAAGTCTAGTGGTTAGACACGCATGTACACATGGGAAACACAGGATACTCATACTTGTGTCTCTTCATCTCTCTTGAATTCATTTCTCTTACTTTTTCAGGAGGACCTCCACCAGCTATCCCAGCATCCAACTCTCAGCAGCGATGAAATATTGAAGCCTTATGACTCCAGGACACAAGCAGGAACCCTCACACCTACTATGAAGGTAGCACACATATACACTGATCCAAACCCCACAAAACAATGAATTTAAAAAAAAAACAATTCATCAAGTATCATATAAAAACTGAGAGAAGCTTCGGATTTAATCTGTCTTCTGTATATAGAAAAAGGGGGTTGAGGAAACTAGCATCCCGAACCTTTGCTCATATGATGGGGGGTCACCCAAGGCCAAATGCTCACCAGTTGAGCGTGGATTACCCAGTGTGGAACAGAGCGGGAGAGGAACCCCCCTAACAAGGACACACACCCCCACCTCCCCTCATGCTGAACACAGAACCTCTATCAGACACAGCCGCCCACCTTCACAAGAAGTGCGACATCAGCCCCAGCTTAAAATGAAATACAACCAGCACGTCAGGTAATCTCCCGCATACCCGCAGTCCTAGATCTAACCAGGTAATCCTGAACGTTATCTCCTTTGCTTTTTAAAAAACCTTTTTGAGGTAGATTAATACATATCTCAACAGATGAAGTCGGTTCTTATCGAGAATTATTAATTTCAGGAAAATGCCAAATCCATAAATGTGCTGAATAATATCCAATTATCCGTAATTATCCAATTATCCGAAGTGAGCTACATTGCATTTAAAACATACATTCACCATGTTTCGACCTCATGACCTCAGCTCCATGGCTAGCTGTTTGAGCTAAAGGAATGGCATAGATAAATTGTTGCTTTTATTCAAAGTTCAGACTGATCTCATGAAATGGCATAAGTATGACACGCCAATTCGTATTTCCGTTTTTGGCGCGCTATCAACACGCATAATCGCTTTTCAGCGTGTTTATGAACGCCGTTGACTTAACGTTACATTACTGTATATATAAATATATGACCTACCCGTCACTGGCTTTAATACCATTTATGAGTCTTTCACTACCATCCTAGAAAATAAAAAAAAAAAAAAATCGCTCCCCAGATGTAGATCTACATTTTGCTTCGTTTCGCTCGGACATTTAACGGCGTGTACATACACGCGGAATCACTCGGACATTTAATGGCGTAAACATACACGCATACAGCTCAAAATGTGTATAGATAACATGGCACTTGACTTGAAAGTCATGAGATCATGTTGCAAAGTTATGTAGTGCCTTTTCTATTGCAAGGAAAATCGCCTCATATTGCATGGATTGAAATTGCCTACAAAATATATTTTTAAGTGTAATTCAGGGTTGCCAGGTCTGTGACATAATACATTCCAATAACCATTCAAAACCTGGGCCCGTATTCATAAAGAATCTTAATGCAAAAAATAGCTCCCAGTGACAAAATTCTAAGAAAATTTTACTCTTAAAATTAAGAAAAAATCCTAGTAAAGAAAAAAGTAATTTAGAAATAATCTTAACCTTTAAAAGAGGTCTTAAGGTCAAAATTGTTAGGAGTACGGATGAGGACCTTTAAGAGGCTTAAGAGTTTCTTTAGCAGAGAAGAAAATGGCTGAACGATGAAGAGGGAGAAGAAATGTGTTGCAATAGATGACAGTGAGTTAATAAGACGCTATAGACGAGATTGTGCAAGGATCATGTTTGTGACTGATCTTATTAGGGACACGTTAATATCTCCGACACAGCGCAATGCCATAACGCCAGAAATGAAAGTAATCACTACAGTAAGATACTTGGCAAAGGGGGAAATGCAATAAAGCAGCATTGATTTGGGTCTGTCACAACCTTCTGTAAGCAGTGATCACCCAAACAATTACAGCACTTTCAGAACCTCTTATTGTGTCGCAGTTCATTTAGTTTCCACTGGACATTCCCACCTTGCAGGCTCAAAAAAAATGCACAAGATGTTATATCTATAATCTAATTCTTATCTTGTGCTTGTTTTTCAGGAATCCTGCTGAGCAGAGGGTTATTGAAACAGGACCTGATGGACAAGACCCTCAAAAACAGGAGTGGTTCACCAAATATTTCTCTTTTTGAGGTCCCACTGAACATTTGGCTGTATCTGTCCCAACATATTAAGAACAGGACCACCAAAGTCTCACTTTCTGCATAATTACACTCGACTGCAAGCTAAACACCAAATAAGCTTTTCTACAGGACACATCTCACTATTATCCCGTTTAACAAAATGCAGCACACAGACCCAATGTCTTAAATTGTTACAAAAATTAAGAGATTATGCATTCGGTTATAACCAATGAAGGACTACAGGACACTACGGTCAGAGTGAGTGGACATATCAAAGAGCTGAAAGAAGAGAATGGAGAATGTTCCTGTGTAGAGGCTTCCTCCATTGATGCTTCACGTGTGGTCTCTCCCAGCAAAAGGATGATATCAAAGTCTAAAAGGAAAAAAAAGTGCACAGTTCTGCACCAAATGCTACATGGACCTCTATTAATTAATAAAATGAACTGCCAAGTTTGGATTGCTGGAAAAATGCTGTGGAATGTTGAAACTTTTCTTTAACAAAAAGAGAATGCAAGAATAGCGGTTTTCGCCATTTTATGCCAAAACTCTAACCATCTCAAGATAATTAATGAATATCAATAAATTACATATTTTTGTTTTTTAAATTGCATGATAGCATTTTCTTTATTTGTTTTTAATATCCTTTTTATAGAACATTTTACGTGCCCTGGACTGGTCAATCTAAATATACAGGTATATATATATTGTGTTAATTAAAACAAAAGTTTCACTGAAAGAATGTGCAGTTCATAAGAGCTTCTGTCGCTGATGGATAATTCAGGATCTCCGAATAGAATGATTTGAGGCCGCTCTTCAGCGTCCTCTGCTGGTTGGACTTGGCTTTGTTCTTGTAGTTCATACTTAGAAGCTTGTCAGCCAGATAGTGCAGCCACAACACATTGGAGTGAGGATTATATGTGGACCAGCAGTTACTGAGAAACAGAGAATGAAGAAAGAACAATGAGAATCATCAAATAGAATGAAAGCATTTTAAATTTCTTCCTGTCTGAGGCTAAAGCACACACTTGTTTTCTTTCTTCATTAGGCGGTAGACGTCAAACTGGTAATCTCCCTGTCCCATAAACAATTCTTCATCAGAAGAGATATCACATGACACCGTCAGTCCATCTGAGAGAGAGAGAGAAAAGTGTTAAAGCATTTATTTTCCGATTCACGTGTACCAGTTTTACTACATTCTCAACTCTTGTACCAAGAGTAAACGTTGCTAATTTTGACTAAATTAAAGTTTCCCTTAAAGGATAAAAACCTACATTTTCAACCAGCTTTGTATTATTACAATGACCGTTGTACGTTCATGGATATAAAACTGTCAAATTTGTCCTTTACTAATGGCTAGCTAATTTGGGACCAAATATTGATTTGAAGTTAATTTATGGGAAATGTAAGTTTTTTGATCATTTTTTCTTGGAATGGTTGGTTTAGCTTTCCAAATACAAATCAACAACATTTATAAAAATAAAATAAAAAGTTAAAGACTAATTTAAGATTCAAACTGTTCACTGAATCTCAAAATAATGTATGATTTTAATTGTTAGATTGGTGCAGTTGAGAAGGTCAAGGAAGGCCACCATTGGTGGAAAATGGTGAAGTCACCATGTTGAGAGTAAAGCTAGGGGGATACATGCTAAATTAATTGAATGTTGGATGATGGTTAATAAACATGGGATTTGCAACTTTAACAGCTTAAAAACTACATTTACGAGACTGAAAAATATTTGTGCCAAAAGGAGTTAGAGAAAGAGTTCTGCATTGGACTGACCGATCTCCAGCCGTGAGAGCGAATAGTCAATAATATTGACATGAATCCCTCGAGTCTCTATGGAATGCGTTGTTCCATTCAGAATGAACTCGGTATGCTTGAGCTTAACATTCTTCACAAGGATGTTCCCCCAATGAAGATCTCTGAAACATCAGCGCACACCACTTAAATCAGCTTACAGTGACAACATACAAATATAAATTTGTATGCATCTACATTTAAATTTCAGCTTCAAATTTGTTACCGGTGTTCAAAGCACAGGGCTTGCTCAGCTACTGCCAAAGCTGCGGTGACTTGGTGAAGGACACTTTTGGCCTGGGCCATGGAGGTTAGCTGCAATGGTACACACAAACAAACTTTTAAGTTGTCATAATGATAAAATATAGCTCAAAGTATATGGACAATCACTTCTAATAAACAAGTTGAGATATTAGAGTAGTTCTTAAAGGGATAGTTCACCCAAAAAGGAAAATTGTTATCGTTTGCTTATCCTTGCGCCGTTCGAAACCGTACGATTTTTCTTGTTCTTCAAAACACAAATCTCATTATTTTTTTAATGAAAGAATGAGATTTATGCCAGTCCACCAAAACATTTTTGAACAAAGTTCATAAAGATATTGTAAACTAGTCCTCCGAAGAGACTACCTCATGTCACAAATTCGATACATAATACGATACTGAACTAACGATACAATATTATTGCGATACTTCAAGACATATGGTAAAAGGTTAACAAAAAAGAAATGTACTGTTGATCAAAATGCTACATATGATATTACACTGTGGGTTTAAATGAATAGGCTTGGACTAAAATATTTATGATTCTGAAGCTGAAAATACAGAATTATTTTAGATGAATATTTTTCCACTCTTTCACTGACTAGATATATTTAAAATAATGTCACTTTTTACTTGTAACATCAGTCATTTGGCATTATCAGGACCCACAAATATTCCCCCATTGCATTATTATACATTACATTCAACATAATATATATTAGTTTAATTACACTAAAATTTTTTAAATTTCTCACACAGTAATTTTTTATTTTAGGGGGACTAGCTACGATACGTATTGTCACCATCCACGATACGTGTTGTTGTATTTTTGTATTGCAATATATTGTGGCATGACATATTGTTACACCCCTAGAAGAGACATGAAGAAAAACATCAAATAACAGGAAGCTCAACTATCCTTTACTGATGTGCGAGAACAAATGAGGTTTGTTTTCATGCCTCACTTGAGCTTAAGCAAGATCCAATGAGGTTTGTTCTTGTGCATTAAGCAAATAAGGTTAAGCTTCAGTTTACCATATTTGATGTGCTCTGCATATGTGTGCGTTGATCAAAAGTTATTGCGCTTCTTTTATTATCTTTTTTTGAACTTTTGGTGGAATGGACTTTCAGTGGTTTCAGTAAAAATATCTTCATTTGTTTTTCGAAAATTAAAGCAAGTTATACGAGTAACACAATGTACATTTTTTGGTGAAATAACTCAAAATCAATTCATGTTAAACCATACAATGACAAAAGTATCAGCAAGGTCAGTCACTAAAGCGAAGGGGCCTGAATTCACAACAAAGATGTTCAGTGGACTTCAGGCTTTATAGAATACCTGGAACAGACAAACCTGTATAAATATAGAAACCTGTGCGCAAGTACCTTTCCATTAATGTTCTCTAGATCACTCCCTCCAAACTCAAACTCCAAAATTAAAAACAGTTGCTCATCGTCAAAGAAATCTGTGCCAACAGAAACAATACATTAACGGTCACTACATATAAAACTATTTAAAGACATAAATTGTTTACACATTTAGCTTACCAGGTCTGTCATTCTCTGATCCCTTCTGACAGTCAAACTCATCCCAGGCTTTGAGCAGAGCTTCGGGATAACATCCACGGACACAATGTAAACTACAAAGTAAACGAATCGTTCACCCAAGGTAAAATTATTGAAAAACTATTTCTTTCTAAACAAAATGTCCTTCAAACTTCCAATCACCTCATTTTACATTTATACGCTATATAATAAAATTTAAAAAAAAGGTAGAAGCATACTTGTTCAGCCCAATGAAACCGTCTGTTTTGTTAATCTCCTTTATGTTAAGGCTGCTCAGCTCTCTGTAGGAACATTGAAGATGTGTTGAATATTTAAACACCATTCATTCAAATGTGTAACATATTTGTTGAGATATGCCAGAGATCTTACTTGGAAATGATTATTTCATGAAGGATTTCACAAAATGTTTTCTGGTGTTCCCCATTGACCTGCTGACTGCCTTCTACAGGGATGATCTATAGAAATTACATTTAAACATCACTTTAGTCATTTTTGTATGTTTACGAAATAATTCTGCTTACAAATCAGTGACTAAACATCTATTTACATATATAGATACACAGAAGTTCAAACTGTATTTTAAACATTATGCGTTTGCATGAAGTATGCTTCAACAATGAAATTGTATAAGGATAAATTGAGCACATACTTTGAGAGCAACGGTCTCATTGGAATCATTTATAGTTGAGAAGACCTCTCCAAATGTCCCTTCGCCAATCTTGTTACAGTGTTTCATGCGAGCCGGAGGGATACAGTCGCTAAAGGATATTGGGCCATTCTGTTGACATTCCTGATAGACTTTATCTGCATCGCTGATGTCATCATATGAAGTCTGGAACACAAAGGCAGAGGAAAAGTGACATCACAGAGATTAGATGTAATAGAGAAATAACTGGAATAAAGAGGCATAAATTATCTAAGAAAGTAACAGAAATTAAAAAGCATAAAAAATGATATTATATTGTAGACCGTACAATATATTCTATTATACTTGTAACACTTCAAAATGAAAATTCTGTCATCATTTACTCACCCTCAATTTGTTTAAAACTTATGAATTTCTTTCTTCTGTTAAACACAAAAGATGATATTTTGAAGAATGTCAGTAACCAGACAGTTGACGGGCCCTTGACTTTCATAGGAAAATCAATGGGGCCCCAATCAACTGTTTGGTTACCATACCAACATTATTCAAAATATCTTCTTTTGCGTAACTATGACTTTTTCTTTCACAAATCTGACTTTTTCTTAGAATTGCAGGATTATATCTCAATTATGAGAGGAAAAAAATATTCTTTTTTTATTCCATGGTGGAAACAAGCTTCCATAGTGGAAAACTATGCATTATGAACCAAAGTCAAATCTATTTTGAGACAAATGCATAACTTTAAATCTAGTTATTTCAGCATTTCTGAAATGTGAATAAAGCACGCAAACTGTATGTATTTATTAGGAATACAGTTTCTTGAATTAAAGGAGACCTTTATTTACATAACTGTTCATTGGAGTTAAGGAATGAATATAAATATCTCTGTGTCTTTACCATGGGGGTGTTCATGGTGGACCGGAGCATGCGTGAAGGTGTGACTCTGGATGGTGTGAACAGAGGGGAAGCAAACATGTCTACACTGGTGGTGTCAGCTGTAAAGCCACATCCTGGGGACTTCAGATGATACTGTCCCAAGCGCCGTGGGGTCGGAATTGCTGCAGTACACACATTTATACACAACATTTTAGGAAAGAACTTCAGGCCATTTTACATGCTTTCAAGTTATTTTAAGAGAGAGGTAACAGAACAAAGGTGGCACTAAAAATCAACCATCATGTACCATTCTCAATTAGGCAAACTCTGGGCAGTTTGATATATAAATCAAAGACCTTTGTTTGTGTCTACTGGCTTTATGTGGTCTGCTGTAAACATACCAGTTTTCTTCTTATGTAGAGACAGTGCTGCCTTTAGTCGGCCCCAGGAGTGCGTCGTGAGTGTGTCTGGAGTGAAGTTGGCCAGGATGGAGGAGAGATTCATTTGTGACACTCTGAGAGGCGTCACAGCCAGAACAATCCCACTGGTGCCCTGCAGCCAGCCACATGTTGTTTCCTGCATGAACGCACAGAAAGAAAAAAAAAAGACAAGCAGCTAAAAAATTTGGTTACAATTAATTGTTTTTGCAAAACAATGGCATTTTTCTTCCCCCTGAAAAATAACCCTGGAGAATTGGAAGTAAAAAATACTTTTGATTTCATTTACTAAATGCAAACTGAAGATATCCATAAACACACACACGCACACACCCCCATGGTGTGGGGCTGACTTTGCATTCTACATAATAATAAAAACACTGAATCTCAAAGAGGTAGCACATATTTCTGGGTAGTAAGATGTTGGTCTTGGATAAATAAATTGTAATAATAATAATGCCCATATAAATATTCATAAAATAAGATAAGAGACGTATAAGATTAAGTAAGTTGACAAAAATTGCATAAAGCTCCAGGTACATATTATGGGTCTGTAGGCTTAACATAATGATTTAGTCAATTCATAACATTATGGTAATCACACTAAATTAATATTTTTAAAAAAAAAAGTGAATACTAAAAATACAGTCCTCATTGAAATAAGCAATTCCAAATTGAATTACAGATGGGATGCAAGAACATATTACGAGTAAATGGTTTAAGTACAAAAAAATGTGTAAATTGTAAAGTGGATTGCTGTGAACTATATTCTAGTGAAAGACAATGATACGTAAATAAACTGTTTTAATTACTTCTCAAAGAATTTGTGAAAATTAATAAAAAGTAAATACAAATAGCATAGCATAATAAGCGCAGTAATGTATTCTTGACAATAACTGACCGCTGAAAAGGTGTCTGCTCCAGCAGATAACATGCTGCACCCAGAACTGTAGTCTCCTGACACTGCCTTTGTTCGTCCTTCCTTTTTCTTCCGTTTTTCATTGAACTCTCCAGTACCCCTTTTTGACCAGCGGCTGACATTCAGCCCACTCACACAAACTTTACGACCAGTCCCAGTACCAGCACCTGTGCGTTCTTTAGGCACAGCAGGCGGTCGTCTTTTGCTATGACATGCAGCGGCAGGTGGAGAGGCTGGAGGTGGTTGGAACGATGCAGATAAGCGTCGAACAACCACTTCAGCATTACTGGGAGACCTGTGATGTATTGGACTGTTTGGGATATCATTCCCTGTCCCCTTAAAAGATAGAGAGGTGACAGTTTCCCTGCGACTGATGGGGAGCATGTATGGCGGCGAGTCAGTGCAGGGAGCTTTTGTTGCCCCCTGGTGGACAAAAGGATATGCAACCAAGTCAAGACGGGGAATGCAGACAGTGAGGGAAGATAACAGACATTCAGCTTTAAGACGTTCAATAAGGGACATATTTGAGCCAATTGCTTCAGTTGAAGAAGAAGTGTTAAAAGACTTAGAGGAGATATAGAGGGACGGTTTGGATAGTGAGGAGCAGTTGGATGAAGCAGTTACATAGTTTTGGCTGTTCTGTTTATTTGCTTTGGAGGACTCCAAACATGGAGGATTTGAGGTAATCTTCTCTTCCTGTTTCCTGCTGCAGCTTTGCGACGACAGATGGTCTGTGACATCTATTCTTTTGAGCGCTAAGTCTACATCCACTGTGCGACATCTATATCAACAGACAGAAATGAATTGGAACTTTTTACTCAAATAAAAATGTGGCAATTTTTACATAGACTAGCAGATGAACGTTTGAACTCATGATTCTTTATTATTAGGTTATTATTATTACTGCTAGGGACCGCTTAAAGGAGTAGTTCACTTTTTAAAAAAAACTTTTGCTGATAATTTACTCACCCCCATGCCATCCAAGATGTCTATGTCTTTCTTTCTTCAGTCGAAAAGAAATTAAGCATTTTTCTCCATATAATGCACTTCAGTGGGAACCAAACCGTTCAAGGTCCAAAAGACACTTTCAGTACAAACTGCAAACGATTCAAAGGGCTTTAAACGATTCCAGACAATGAATAATGCTCTAATCAAGCGAAACGATCGCTCTAATAAATAAATAAAGTTTTATACGCTCAAATGCTCACCTTGCTCTGTTCTGTGACGCACGTTTGTGACTCTCCTATTCGAACTCGTTCATCAAAATGATCAAATCTTTTTCCGAGTCATTTGGTTCATTCAACGAACGAAACGAACGAATTGACTTCATTTTGATGAACGAGTTCGAATAGGAGAGTCACAAACCTGCATCGCAGCTTATAAAACTTAAACTTTGTTATTTTTATTTTGATAAGATCCTTATTCATCGTTTGGAATCGTTAAAACCCTTTGAACAGTTTGCAGTTTGTACTGAAAGTGTCTTTTGGACCTTGAACCGTTTGGTTCCCACTGAAGTGCATTATATGGAGAAAAATCCAGGAATGTTTTCATCAAAAATCTTAATTTCTTTTCGACTGAAGAAAGAATGACATGGACATCTTGGATGACATGGGGGTGAGTATCCAAAACTTCTGACTAGTGATGAAAACATTTGTAAAAAATCTCTCATAAACATTCATAAATCAACAATATGTTTTTGCAAATTAGCAGGCCATTACTCACCTCTCTTTTAGGTCCTCTACTAAGGATTCTAGGTGTGGCGGTGTTAACACGCATCCAAAAGCTCTGGTTGCCTGTGCAGACGTGGCCTCTACTTCAGATCCTCCTTTTCTCTGATCCGCCTCTCCACACCCAGCTTCTTGGTGAAGTTCATCAAAGCTAAGGGAGGATATCTCACTGATGGAGGGCTCTGGTAAGTTCCTGAGCTTTCTGCAGACCACTGATGGAGTGCTGGCCAGCAGGGGACGTTTACTTGGAAGCTGCTGGTCATCACTATCATTGAACGAGACCTCAGCCAGAGCCGCACGGTTCTGTGCGCGTTTGCGGGTCTTGTTAGCAGCATGATTATCTGAGTCATGTTGTTTCTTGTAGAACTGCTTGTTTTGGGAGAACACAGGGAGGAAATCATCGG